TATTTTTATTCTTCTTCTACTTTTCCAACTCCCACCTCATTCTTCTTCTTCTTCGCCGCCTTTAACTCTGTTTCCCTCTCCAATTTCTTCTCCAGCCCCGCCGATAAGTCTGCTTCCTTTCTCACATACCCTTTTCAATTTTATCCTCCTATTATACACCCTCTCTTTCTCGCCTTTTCATTCTCCTCATCCTACTTCTCTTTCTCCTTCTCTTACTTATCCTCCTTCCTCTTCTTCTTATTTGCATTCTTTGTCTTCCTCTCTTCTTTATCCTTTTTCTCCCCTCCTTCAGCCCCTATTCTACTTTCTTTGCCACCTTTTTCTCTTCCTCATTTACCCACTTCTACCTTTTTCATCACCTCATCTGTTCTCTTCTCCTTCTCTTCCTCTTCTTCTTTCTCTTCTACTCTGCTTCATCGCTTTTCTCCTATCTTTCGTCCTTCTCTCTTATCAGTCCTATTTATTGCCTCATCTTTTTCCTCCGTTTTCTTTTCATATCATCCTTGTACTTCTTCTGTTTTTATTCTTTTTCTTCACCTTCTCATTCTCTTCTTACTGCTTGCCTCCTACCTCCTTCTGCTAATCAGCCTCCCTCCTCGAATCAGCGTTTCCATCTACCTCCTCCTCTTCCTTCTTCTACTTCGTATCCAGCGGATGCACATCGGCTTTACGTACAACGACTCTTCCGAGTCCTTGAACCATGTACATAAAGATCCTTGAGCTATCCAGTACTCAAGTGGATCCACTGCAGATCAGTTCAGATTCTCGGTGTCCTAGCTCCACTGGACCAGCAGAAGCAGGCTATTTTATACTCCCTGTGTATATCTTCCATATACCTTTTTCCCATGAAGCCTGATCTTTTGGCACTCCCATTCCGCCAAAACTAAAACTGGATATGGACCTAACTACGGGCAGTAATGCATTCGCGTCTAGCTATATACAATATAAACTATTCCTTATACATAGCGACTTTTTTTCATTTTATCTAAGCTGGATTCGGACTGGGCTTCCTTCTTCTCACATCCCCGCACGTGC